TTAGGCTCTTGTTTTGAAACATGAGGTCTCTTATGTAGCGTGTTGGAAACATATTTTTAAAAATATATATATATATATATATATATATATATATATATATATATATATGAGAATTTTGTTAACTTCTGGCACCATTAATTATTTTCGGAAGTCCAAAAGTTTTGTGCTGAAACAAAAAATATTGTTAAGACCAGAACACATGCGTAGTGTTGAAGCTTTTATTATCAATTGAAGATCGCTTCAGATTAGCAGCAGCAGCTGATATGGGAAGGGTGATCACGACAACCCTAATAGCGGTAGTTGAAGCCTCGTTTTAATACATATGACAGTATTGACAATGCCATCACCTTCCCATCTTTTGTCACTGGAATATCTTCCTGGAGAAACTGCAATGGACTACAAGCAGCATATTTGTGACTGCATAAACAACTTAGCTAAAGTAGGCTCACTGTCTGCTGGCATGAGTGTTGATGCCAGTTTAAAACTCATACTTTTGAAAATCAAATGCTGCTTGACAGACCAGGCTCCGGTAAACCAATCAGTGGTTTTGTTATTAGAAAAGGAGTGGCAGGTGAAACTTGTAGAAATGTACTGCAATTTGCACCCTCTAGAGACAGTTGAACAAAGATGATGAAGGTCCTGAGGGATTGCGAGGGAAATACTAATGTGAGTGCCTAGCATAGCGAATTCTTGTTGAATTCAATTCCTTTAGATATAGTGATAAATTGGGCCTTATTTCGAAAATGAAGACCTTTATTGAACAACAAGGTGTTCCATGATCCAATATCACTAGATTCCAAGGGAATAAGTTGTATGTAATTTTTCATATAGGTGCAACTTACTTTCCCATTTTCAATCAATGTAAGCAATTTGTCTTGGGACTTTCCTCAACAAATAAAACTATTTCAAACCTGCAACAAATAATTACGGAAGAAGCCGCTATCATAGAGATGCAAGTGCTGGGAATCATAGGGAAGATGCTATCAGGTTCTTGGATAAGTACCTTCTGAATAAGTGAATAACCAAAGGCCCCATTGACACTATGAACATCGTCAAGAAGGTCATTGACAATCTGAAGGTACTCACCAAGAACCCTATGTCTATTTTCAGCTCCACAAAGGATTTCTTTGGAAATACCTTACCAAAGAAAGTTATAGCGTCCCTACTGATTGCCCCAGCAAATAAACTCTTATTTCACCAGATGATAACTGCCTGTTTAAAAGGGACTGTGGAGGCTTTAAGCAGGCAGTATGAAAAATTATTCCAGACAATAGAGGCTTCTCCCAGATCATTATTAACATCGGTGAGGCAGCATACTATGCTGGCTGAAAGCATCGTCAGTGAATTTTGTGAAAGACAGAAGCTTGCACCTAATGCTTATGTATCAAGCATAAGCGATGTCATCAAGGCCAAGCAGAATCAAGTGAGGAATTTATCGATGAACTTCATGCTGAGCAAATCCATAAATATTTACCGCATACACTGATGTACAGCAGACACAAGACAGATAAAGAAAAGGCGGCAACAGGAAGTCAACAAAGAAATTGTCAAAAGGCTAAAATCTATGGAAGACTACCAACAAAAAAAGAAAAGTGCTGGCATCCCGAAAACTCTAAAAGAAATGTCAATTGATTCTTTTTGCTTCTAACTATCTTCATTGTGGACAAGTCCTGCAAGAAATACTAACTGGAAACATATTTGGATGCACAATTAGACATATTTGGACAATTGATGGTATCAACTGTGAATACATCAAATAATATGAAAATCAATTTTATACAATTTCATATCTCAATCATGTAATTGACTGCTATCAATTGACCAAATATGAAGTTGGTGCTGACTTTGTTTTGCAGGAATTGTATTTTGAAAAAGTATTTTCACCATTATAGATAATGGCAATTTTTAATATTGTTTAGGGTATTGGGTTAAAATATTAATTAAAAGCAGGACTCCTTGGAGAATGTAAATCATCAATTTTTTTTAATTTCTTTTGTAAAACAGCCATTTCACCAAAAATCTGTTTTGAATTGTAAAATAAAAAATGCAATAAAACTATGATATTATTTAATTATAAAAGCTTTTAATTGCTTTCATAAATAAGATTTATTAAGGACACTATTGTCTAAAGAAAAATTTTTTTATGAATAATTAATTTTTACAAGAATTGTTTTCATTTTTTAAATAATTTATAATATTTAAAAATTGTTTAAAATTCTTCATTGCTGCCTTGAAAACAGTTTGGTGATATTATTAAGTGAAAAGTACATTTCAGAATCAAAAATTGAAAAGATCATAACAATCATTTGAGCCAATATATTTTAAAAAAATGTTTTAGTGTATAAACATTCCCAATTTCTACCTATGGGAAGCTATACATAACATAATCCTTAAAAAGTTTTAGGTGATTTAAGTGTCATCTGATGCACTTCAATTTTTTCTCACTTATTCAGTTCTGTTTTATTAATGTCTTTGCAAATCATCACTTCAAAATTTCAAAGTAAGTTTTATTTTTTTAATTACTATTTTACTAAATATTTTTATTTTATGTATTTATTTTAGGTTGGGTCATACTTCAATTAAGTAATTTTTTGTTTAAGTTAGTATACTTAAGAACCTAGAGAAAAAAACACAAATTTCATCAAAGTATCTTGAAACCTAACTAAAAGTTCATAAGATATTAAATAATTGCTGAAAATACATTAATTTGTAAAAAAATTACTAGGTAGTTAAAAACTAAAAAAAAGTAAAAATGTGTTCACTTAGATTTTGAAAATTTATGTCATTTCTGATCAGCCGTACAAAATGTCATCACCTCAGAACTTATTGATACATCAATAAAGATCAAAGAAAAATAGGACTTGTTAAGAAATGCTTGTATATTACTTTTTTATGCTATAAATAAGTAATATTTATTTCACATCAGATTAATTTTTTTTTTTTAATTTTACTCAAATAATGTGTCAGAAATATTTTATTTTTGGAAAATTTTTACAACTGATAATTTTGTTTACAAATTTCTTAAAATTAAGATAATGACCACTTTTAAAAAGATTTTCTGAAATCAGCCAAAAAGTTGTGTTTCCGATCTATATAATTTCTATTTGAAATAAACCAGAATATTTTACTTACTGGAAATAGTACATTTAATCATTTAGCTTTCAATTAAAGTTAAAATGAAATCTTCCAGATTGCTTTTTCATTTTTGAAACTTTATATGGAATTAGTGGAGACACCTACAATATATGAAACGTAGCTTTTATGTGGCCCAAAGCTGAAAGTATGGAGCATCAAGTGAGGATTGAACTAACTCCTCAGTCATAATAAAAATAAGCAAGAAAATTAACACATTGATCTGGAATTTTTTTTTATAATAATTAAAATATTGTTTAATCATTAACAGTTAATAAACTTTAATTTACATTTGCTAAAAAGTATTTTTTTCTATTTTCTTCAATCCAAGCACGTGACCTTTTCATAATAATACCATAAATGAAAAAGGGAACAAAAAATCATTTAAAAAAATAGAATAGTAATGCCTCGTTTATTAATCTTTTCAATTTTGGATTCGTAAATTTTGTTTCCACTTAATTACAATCGGACGTACAGGAAATAAAGTAATGCAGAATTTTAAACGATTTTTAAACTATTATAAATTAGTATAATTAAAATTTAAAAAAAAAAATTTTTTTTTTCAGGCTAGTGTTCTTACACAAGCAATTTAAAGCTTTTCTAATTAAATAAATATAGTTTGATTACATTTTTTAGTTTACTATTCGGAGCAGATTTTCTGTTAGAATAACATCCCCCAACGTGTCCTACTTTTAAGTAATAAAAAAATTCTGAAAAAAAACAAAACAAGGAATTACGCCAAATTTCATGGGTGGGGAGTTTCATGCATGTTGCAATAGTATATGTGTGTGTGTGTGTGTGTGTATATATATATATATATATATACACACACACACACACTAGTCTTACTTACTATAAAATGCAGATTGTGTGTGTCTAACGTTTATATATTGGATCGAATTTCCTACATTTTTCAACCAATTTCAACAAAACTTCACAGGACTACATAAAATTACCTTGCGGTGGTTGTAACAGCGCCAAAAATTGCAAAAACTCAATTGTTTTTTGCAGAAAATCAATTTGAAAACACGATTAAGAGGCATTAATGAAAGGGGGACAACTCACATCAGCTTAAAAACCTAGGTTGTTTGTGTGTGTGTGTGTGTGTTCATTTATATATGGGATCGGATTTCCTATAATTTTCAACCGATTTCAACAAAACTTCACTTTTTTTTTTTTTTTTGGCAGGTAGTGTTTCTTATTTTCTTGCGCACTTTTTTCTTTATTTTTACATTCAGAATGCTTTCCATTTACAAGACAATTGTTTATAATAAAATTCTATTCAATTGGTAGATCCATAACTATTGAAAACAATGTTTTTGTTTGAGTTTGGGTTTGACCAATTCGTAAAAAAAAAAAAAACTAATTAATACATGCGTGTCCGTCAACCTTAAACAATAATCTAACGATCTCTACTGATTGTACGAATCCAAACAAGATAATTCTTTAGGGCCGTTTTTATAATTCTCTTTGCAATTTGGTACAAGGCAACGATAATAAATTGGTTCTATTTGAAATTAATTCAATATTTAAAAGAAAGTATTTAGAAATAATTTAAAAATGCCGACGTAAGAAATCTGATAGACAAAAATATTTCGAAGATGAAAATTATTAAGGAAAGAACACAGTACTTAACTTGTACCCGACTTTTCTGCTAAATTCCTTTTTTTGGTTCCTGCAGGTAAGTCTTTTATGAGGGGCTTCTGTATGTCTTGCTTAAGGGTTTACGAGAATTTTCATTGTTTCATCAGCGAACTTCGACTCATAATTGACATTTTAAACTTCAATAATTGTCCACACGTTGGTGCTTTTAGGGTGCCAAGGTCATCCCACTCCTCCTCTTACGGACGGCCTCCATACACGCACTAATGCAACAGGATACGCAATATTCGCTAAGAGAGAGAGGAGGTATTCTCACTCTCTCTTCTTTCACGTAAGGTTTGTGTTGAGAGGGGACGGTCACTATTACCGACCTTTCCCCTACATTAATGACAGCGATATCTACCGTGATTTCCTCTTTCACTGGCCGATTTTTTTTAATGGAGAGTGAAACGTCACTCAAGGTCAACCATCTCTACTGCGTACTCGGTCATGCTTTCACACTTTTGCGTTTATTGTTGCCCACGTGCACGTACTTGGCCTACTTTATTCGCCAACTTCAGATACCGCAATTTATTACATGTTCTAGCTGCATTTTTGTTTTATAGTTCCAACCCAACCCTACACACGTTAGCCAATTGTACTAAAAATCCATTTCCTTTTGGATTTACCCTTGGTATACCTTTTTAAATTTCCACTTTTTTAGTTTCGAGTTCCCCTTTAGTAACATCTGAACTCATTTTACTGGGTGTTCCCCTTGTTGTGTCTACGTTAGCAGTGCACGATTTTTGGATTTGTCGAAATCTCTTTTTAAGCTTTACCCTCTTTGACGTTTTTACTGTTTGGATGCCACCTAAAAGGAGGAAACTTTTGGGACAGCGCACGGCAGCTGCCACCGCTGCTAGAGCAGCGAGGGCGAGTGAAACCCCTGAACAGACTTCTTTGCGTCTTTCACAGATGGCCTCGAGCTCAGCTGCTTGCTTATCCATGGAAAGCGCCGCTGCGCAGACTGAAAGGTTGGCTTCAACTATGTCCTCACGCCGTGCCAGGCTTTCAGTTGAAGAACGTTCACTTCAGAATTCACAGGGCGCAGTCCGCGTGGCTAGGTTGAGGGCTTCACAGTCCCCAGCACAGAAAACCCTTCGTCGTTTGCGTGATGCCATCGTCAAAGCTTGCTCCAGGAGTTTAGAAAGCCCTGAACAAACAACTTCACGTCGTCATAGGAATACTAGGGCTACAGCCGCCTCTAGAGCTTTGGAACAACCTCGAGAAACTGCTCATCGTCGCTTTAGAAATGCCCTGTCCACCGCATCTGCCAGAGCCTTAGAAAGCCCTGCACAGACCACTGTTCGTCGCGTTAGAAATGCCCGCTCTACTGCATCTGCCAGGGTTGCAGAAAACTCTGAAGTACGCCGTCAGCGGCTCAAAAACATTAGCTCATTTCGAGCTTCTTTGAATGGCGTAACTTCGCCGTCTGCATCATTTTGGTCAAATGTCGCATACAATTATGACTGCACTGTCAACTATTCCGCTAGGAGAGACGTACAAATAGGGGCCATGGATAAAGTTTGCACTTTTTGCAACGCACAAAAGTGGGCTTTGTTGCTCTGGGGGTAAAATCAAACTCCCTTCTTTAGACGAGCCTCCCCAGCCACTTCCTTCTGGGTACAACTTCGGAGTCAACGCATTTTCTTGAAGCAATACGGAAGTATAACTGTTGCTTCCAGATGACGTCTTTTGGTGTGAAGGGGGATGGATGCCTACTTTCAAAGTGCAAGGCCAGGTTTACCACTTAATGGGATCACTTTTGGCTGATCAGGGAGAGCCACCTCAGTTCCTACAAATTTACTTTCTCGCAGACTACAATGAGCAGGTTGATGCGCGTCTCGGCATTCTACCTAGCGATAGAGACATTCTGTTCCGTCTACAAGACATGCTTCACGAAACTAACAGTTACATCCAAAGCTTAAAGTTTGCGTTGCAAAACAACTCTTTGCCCTCTTTCAGTGTTGTCATCGATGCAGACAGACGGCCTCACGGTGAGCATGAGCGTCGCTTCAATGCTCCTGTATGTAATGAAATTGCCGCAGTCATCCACGGTGAGGAGCATAACAGCTGTGACATTGTCATAAAAATACCGGGCGGTGGTCTGCGCCGCATCAGTGAAACCCACGTTCATACGACTGTCTCCAGTACCCACTTCTTTTCCATACGGAAGCGATGGGTACCACTTCAAAATCCCAATATGCCAGGCAAGCAGCGATTCCATGTCGACCTCAAAGACAGTCTCCTGTAGGGCTTACTACGCCTACATGTTTATGGTTAGGGAGGGTGAATTTAACCACTTGCACAGGTGCCGTCAACTATTTCTTCAATTCACTGTTGACATGGCTGCAAAAATGGAGTCGGAGAGGTTAGGATTCATCAAGTTAAACCAATCCAAACTTCGAACTTCGTGATGGTCTGCGTTCTGATGGTGACCCACGCAATCTCAGCAAACCGTGCATTTTGCCTTCCTCTTACACTGGTGGCCCTCGATACATGCATGAAAGGACACAAGACGCAATGACCTATGTCCATCATTGTGGGAGGCCTGATTTGTTCATCACGTTCACGTGCAATCCGAAATGGGTTGATATTACACACAAACTTTTTCCAGGCCAGCAGTACTCATACCGCCCTGACCTAATTGCCCACATTTTCCGGTTACAGCTGCGTGAGCTTATGGATTTGATCCTTAAAGGGCAAGTCTTCGGACGCGCCAAGTATCATGTGTACACAGTGGAATGGCAGAAACACGGTTTGCCTCAGGCCCACATCCTGCTGTGGCTCAACGATAAGGTTGACGCAAACAAAATAGACGATTTTATTTCTGCTGAAATTCTGGATCCTGCGCTGGAGCCTTTCCTCCACAAAATCATTAAAAACAATATGATACACAGCCCCTGTCGTGCGAATTACGAAAAAAGGTCATGTTGGTCAAGCGACCCCACTTGCACAAAGGGTTACCCCCGTAAGTTTATCTCAGAAACGCAGACTGCGACGGATGGTTACCCACTGTACAGACGAGAAGCCCGCTGAGGGCGGCAGAACTGTGACAGTTAAGGGGCACACTCTGGACAATAGTTGGGTGGTGCCTTATTGCCCGCTGCTGTCCAAGACTTTTGGAGCCCACATAAACGTTGAATACTGCCACTCGGTTAAGTTAATAAAGTACATCTGCAAAGCGTTAATAAAGGCAGCGATGCTGCCGCCTTCGATATCCGGCGCGACAATTGCGCTGACGAGGTGGCGTTTACGTGGCTGGACGCTACCTCAGCAGTAGCGAGGCCTTTTGGCGAATTTTCGATTCCCCATACACCAAAGGGCTCCAGTCATTGTGCAGCTTGCTGTTCACTTAGAAAATGGACAGAGGATGTACTTCACCGAACAAAACGCCCAGCAGGTTGCGGAAAACCCTAAAGACACAACCCTAACGGCTTTCTTTAAATTATGCTCAACAGATGCTTTTGCCAAAACATTGATATACCCCCAAGTCCCGTCCTACTACGTGTGGTCAAACAACCGGTGGGTTCGGTGAAAGGCTGGTGACCCTGTTGAGGGTTATCCCGATGTAAGGTCTAACTCTTGCCTTGGACGCGTTTATACTGTGCCCCCCCCCAGCCAGCAGGAGTGCTTTTACCTCCGCCTTCTACTTCATGAAATTGCTGGGCCAACGAGTTTCACAGATATTCGCACTGTCAAAGGCATAGAATGCCAGTCTTATAGAGAGGCATGCTTCCGTTTGGGATTGCTTGAAGACGACTCCCAATGGGATGCAGCCATTGCGGAGGCTGAACTTCTCAGAACGCCATCACGGCTTCGAACGCTATTCGCCATTTTGCTTTTGCGATGCGATCCTCTGTCGCTCTGGCTAAAGTACAGAGAATCCATGTCAGAGGATGTGCTGTTCTCCGTTCAGCGTAACAGCCCAGGAGTTGAATGCAGTTTCACTGACTTTATATTCAACAGAGCGCTGGTGGCCCTAGAAGATGTTGTTTTTGAACTGGGAGGTGCCTCTTTACCAACTTACGGTTTACCACCACCGCTCAGAGATGGTTTTGATACTGTACCAACTGAGTTATTGCGGGAAACATCCTACTCCATCGAGGGGCTGAATGCATACATTACCGAAAATGAGCCCAAACTTCTACCTGATCAGAGGGTTGCTTTCACTACTATAACAAACAGGGCAAATGGCGCCATTGGAGGTATATACTTTTTAGACGCGCCCGGAGGAACTGGCAAAACTTTTGTTACTAAATTAGTCCTGGCAGAGGTACGGCATCGTGGGGAGATCGCTATTGCGGTCACATCTTCCGGGATTACTGCAACATTGCTACCGGGAGGTAGAACCGCTCATTCGGCTTTTAGGTTGCCGCTTGATCTATGCCGGTCACAAACTCCTCTCTGCAACATAACAAAGAATTTGCCACAGGCTGAAGTTCTGCGGAGATGCAAACTTATAGTTTGGGATGAGTGCACGATGGCACACAAGGGCGCCCTTGAGGCACTTGACTGAAGCCTCCAAGACATCCGCGACTCCTCCAACCCCATGGGTGGAGTAACACTTCTCCTCGCAGGCGACTTTAGACAAACTCTACCTGTTATTCCTAAAGGTACACGCGCTGACGCTGTCCACGCCTGCCTGAAGTCGTCTGCCCTATGGCACCACGTAGAGACTCTTAAACTGAGCATGAACATGCCTGCCTACTTGAATGGGGACTCCAGTGACACACACGGTTTTGTGAAGATGGATCAGCTTGCCACCACTGTTGAATCACCGGATGTATTGATGAATGCAGTCTTCTACAACCTATCATCTAATTTTGCCGATGCCGATTGGCTTGCTGGGAGGGCCATATTGGCACCGAAGAACTGTACAGTTGATTCCATCAACCTTAAACTGTTGGATTGCATTCCCGGGCAATATCATGTTTATAAGTCCATCGACAGAACTTCCGATCCATCTGAATTAGCTGAGTATCCCATAGAAGTTTTGAACTCCCTTCAGCTGTCCGGACTTCCACCTCATATTCTTCGTCTCAAAGTTGGTGCTCCGATTATGCTAATTAGGAATTTGCTCCCACCTAAACCGTGCAACGGGACTTGCCTCATTATTAAATCCCTTTCTCCGAACCTGATTGAGGTGACCATTGCAACTGGCTGCGGCAAGGGGGAAGTCGTTCTGATTCCCAGGATGCATCTTCTGTCATAAGACGCAAGCATACCAATCAACTTTCGTCGCTCACAATTTCCCGTGAAGATTTGTTTTGCTATGTCAATTAACAAATCACAAGGACAGACGCTTAGCATCGCAGGTCTGCATTTACGTGAGCAGTGCTTCTCTCACAGCCAACTTTACGTTGGGTGCTCACGTGTTGGGTCTAAGGACAGGGTTTTCATTTACTCTCCCAACAACTGTGCTAGAAACATAACCTACACGGAGGTCCTGTAGACAACCCGCCCGGTAGCGTTTAAGCACCATGCACACATATGCAGTCCGATTGCATGGCAATTTTTTTGTTTGTCATATTGGTTTTAACGTTAGGTCATCGTAGTCTCCACTTGCCATTACTAAGACGTCTTTGTAAAGGTTATCCAGCTCTTTTGCTGCCTTCTGACTTTCATACCATCACCCGCCATCATCGTGTTTGTTTTCTCTTCAATCCCTATGTATGTTGCAACTGAATCGTGGTTTCAGGACTACTTATCACAAGTGCTTTCAGTAATGCTTAACGATCCAATAGGTTAAAGCAGTAACTGCTGTCAGCTTTTACTCATAGATGTCTTAGTAATGGCAAATGACTGATGCTACAACGGCTTTTCGTTACTTCCTTCAATACCTTCAGGTACTTGGGCCTGCATGATGTCTGCCTAAACTTTGTGTGCATAGCGTTTCAACGTTTTGTAGAAACTTAGTTCCTGTCGACTTACAAAGCACATCTTTCAAAGCAACAGCTGTCCCCAACTCTTACTGTTACATCCCCAGGCAACGCTGGGCTCTACTGCTAGTTGCTACATAAAATTTAATCGAATGGTTATTAACATAAATTATTCTAGCATCCACCATTACTGACGTTGTTTACATATTTTTTCTTCACTCTTTAATGCACAGAAGCTTACTTAGTTAACAGCCATTTTTTTTTTTAACAGCTTTTCATATCTTGATTACTGCATGGTTTTTGCAGATGTTATTTTATTTTGTAAAATGAAGTTTTAAATGAATAGTATTTTTTTTCTTTATTGTCCTTAATAAATCTGCTTATAGCTAATGAAACAGAATCTCATCCTAAAATGTAATTTTTGAAGCTTTAAATTCAAGAAATTTTCATGACACAAAAAAAAAACATCATTGAAAAGAAGGGAAAAAAATCCTCTTTTTACTTTCATGCATGTAATTTTTATTTTATTTCAATTGTCAGATTTTTTTTTTTTTTTCATGCATTCATTTCAAACTCCATGCATTGCGCAGTAATCAAGACATGTGTAACTTCCGTGCCACATGACTACTCCAGGCAAACCTATGTAAACAAAGACAGTAATGGCGGATGTTGTGTGTACAAGATGAGAAAGAAGTTGAACTTACATTGTGCACAATTATCATTTAGAAGTTATGGACAATGTTTTAATGTCATTTTCGAAAAAGCCAGGCAATTTCATCCCAGAATGGCATTTGGTGCTTATACCAAATACATGCAATAAATATTGTGCAAGAATTTAATTAATAATAGCATGATGAAAATTTTTTATAAAGAGGAAAGACTAGAGTAGTTTTTGTTTATTATTTTTTTACATTTTTAATTGTTCACAGCCAAAATTTTCGTTAAAAATTTTGCTTTTATGAGTCAGCAAAATTGATCATGTCAACCATTTTTTTCCATTTTGTAAACAAAAAGTAAAATTCTCTGTTTGAAACTCTTTCAAAAATCAATTTTACTTTTTTTCAAAATTTATTCTAAGAAATTGTAAAGTTTATTATATTTTGAAACAAACATTACTTATTTTCTGCGCCAAAAAAAATGTTTAAAATAAACAGAAAGCAGGCCTTAACAATGGTGAGGGTAGTTTATTGTATGGAAGGACAGAAGTGACATAATTATTTAGTTTTAAGTGAACCAACTTATTTACCTTGTTATTTTTAAGGAAAAATTTCATAAGAAAGGTATCTAATTAACTTTAGACACCTTATCAGATTTTATCTGAAGTGTACATAAAGTACTATAATTTTATGTACATTTATTACATTTTCCAGTA